GGGAGCGCTTTCCTCTCGTCTTGCTCAGGTTTCCTTGTCCAACAGGTAGCAGGGCCTGTGAGTTCTAGGGTGAGTGACTGGATTCTGTCCGTTGGGGCCGAGGGAGACAGTGAGGGGGTCATTTGTGACTGAGAAACCGAGAAACTCAGAACTCAGGCTTCCGGGAAGGTGGCAGAAGCCGGCGCCCAGGCCAGCTGCCGGCACTGTGGGGGCCTCTTGCCAGGTGCGCTTGTGGCCACGGGGAGCCAGTTCCCTTATGTGGCCTCGGGTTCGAGGCTCCAGTCCAGGCAGTTGCTCTTTCCTGTAGGTCGCATCCGAAACACCCCGGAAACCGACGAGTCTCTGATCGACCCCAACATCCTGTCTCTCAACATCCTCTCGTCTGGTTACATCTACCCGGCCCAGGACGACCGGTGAGTCCCCTCGGGGGGCGGCAGCAGGTCTGTTCCCAACTCCCTGGAGACGGTCCAAGTCAGGACCAGGGTGTGTTCTCAGTCTGCCCACCTGGCCACGTGGGGTCCAGCCACGCAGGCTGTGTCCGGCCCCAAAGCCTTCCAGGACCCCCTTCCTGACATGTCCAGGAATGGGTGTGGGGTGGGGGGGCTCATGGCCTCAAAGTCCCCGGCGAGATGGTCTGCACACTGTCCTGTCACCGGCTCATGCATTCACCTGGCCCGTTCAGTCGGTCATCTGATGGAGGGGTTGCGTGGGCGTTGCTGGTGGATGAGTTGGGTCCTGCCCTCAGGAGTACCGTGGGTGGGTGGGCAGCAAGGGGCAGCGGGTGGACAAACAGGCCTGGGTTTCCCAACCGCACTGCTGCGGGCAAGTCTGTACCCTCTGCAGGGGTCCTCAGGCGGGGGTCTTGGAGGAGTTCAGAGCTGCACTGGGTCGGCAGTCTGGCGTCCCGGGGTGGGGGCGTGCCCACTGGCATGGCTTGGCACACGCTCCTTGTCACTGGGCTGTTCCTTTCCAAGCGCCCTGGTGATGGCCACGGTGTCCGCAGCTGGGCAACCTGAGCTCGACCGCACCTGGGGCAGCGGATGGGGCGCGGGAGCCCCTGGGGCCCCCCAGCCATCCATGACATACCAGCCCTGTCTCGTTTGCTAGGCTGGGCAGGCTCGAGGAGGAGGCATCAGGGGGCCGAGCAGGGGTGGGCAGCTCCCGGCTGCTGAGAGCGGCCCTCTTGGGGGGACGTTGGCAGGCTTGGCTGTGTCTCAGATGCTGCTTTCCTAGGGGTCTGGGGACATGGGGAGGATGCCCCTGAGACCCGAGGGCTTGACCTGGCCCCTGAGGCAGAGGCCGAGAGCTGGTCCTGAGCGCGAACGGCGGGTGGGCCCACAGCCCTACGTCTTGAGGGCTGGATGTGCTTGGAGCGGGGTGGGGGACCCCAGCCTTGCAAGGAGAGCCAGATCCTAAGGACAGAGGGTCCTGGGCCCAGGTGGAGCGCGTCTTCATAGGCTCCCCGGAGGGTGGGCATAAGGAAACCATTCTGCAGCGTGGGCAGCTGGGGGGCAAGGGCAGAGACCCCAGCAGGGGCAGGCATGGCTCTGGTTCCAGCCTTGCTCAGGAACCTTCCAGAAGGAAGTCACCCTGTGCGTATGCCCGGAGGAGGGAGGGGCCGAGGTGAAGAGTGCTGGGGGTGCCCCGCACGCAGCGGCGCCCTGGCAGGCTGGCTGGGCTTACGGGGGGTGGTGAGACACAGTGTGGGTGGGCCTGACGCCGTGGGAACACACCCTGGGGACACTGCAGAGAGGGCCTGGCGCCCCCACGCAGGCTGCCCTGAGGGACATGGGCTGTGCCTGGGCCTTCAGGGGCAGGGACCCCGGGGAAGGTGGGCCCGGCAGGGCCTGTGCCACAGGGAGGGGAATGTCTGCCGCGCTGAGTCCACTTTGAGCTGGAGGATGCGCTCAACATTCCCCCGACTTCTGACCCTTCCTTTGCCCTGGAAACGCCTAGATTCTTGGGGTGACAAAGGTGGTGGGGGGTGGCTTTGGGCCTCTGCCCTGCACTGTCCCTCTGCGCTGAAGTGTTTCTGGGTTCCCATCCTCCGACCAGCACGGCTGCTCGGGGCACGTGGGGGCCGCGTCTCAGGCGCAGTCCTTGGCAGCTTAGGAGACTGCGCTGGACCTGGGCTCAGTGGGGTTTGGCTAGACAGCTTCGCCCCGTTCCTGGAGGCCCGAGGACTCGGGCTTCCGTCCTGCGGCCTGGGGGCTGTGGGGAGCGAGGCCCAGACCCCCAGGCCCAGGGGTGGAGAAGCACGCACATGGGCGGGGCCGGGGACCTTGCCTGCAGCCGCTTTGGCCCTGCTTGGCTCCTGCCGTGCTGCACAGGCCAGCACAGCCCCACCCCAGCCCTGCCCGGAGCAGCCTCAGGGACCTCTTAGTGGTTGTCCCCAGGCAGGCTCTGTTCTGAGGCTCCCCAGGGCCCTCCTCTTCCCTGGACCATGGCTGGCATCCTCGGAGCTGTGATGGGCCCGTCTGGTCTGACGGCGATCAGGCCGGCCCTTCTCCCCCGCAGGCGCAGAGGCTCTGAGACCCAGGCCTGGCTCGGGCCTCAGAGCCTCGGGCTGCCCACCTGCCTTGCTGCGGCCTTGGCCTCCTCCCGCTCCAAGGCCCCACGCTTGCCGCCTTCCCCGGCTCAGAGTGGGCCTGCCGCCGCGGACGGCTTCTCTCCGCGCTGCCCCGCTGCCCCGCTGCCCAGTGCCCGGCCCTGCCCTCACTAACCTGTGATTGTTTGTGTTTTGCAGGCAGTTTCTTGATTCGGACTTGCCTAGGTATCATTCGTGCCCCTTGGTTTTATTTCAGCCTCTCCTCCCCGTTCCCACGGCCCTGAAATTTCATTTCAGCTTCTGGATCCCTTCCACACTTGCTCCCCTCTCCCTCCTGTTCCTCCCACCTTCCTCGTTAGTTCATTTCCTTGGAACTCTTCTTTGTTTTTAATTCTTTACGGCTTTCTTCCCGTCACCTTCCCTTGGCTGAGCCTCCGCCCCACTCTTGATTTTGCTGCTTTGGTAGTCCCCTGCCTTTCCTTAGACGCTGGCTGGCCTCCTGCTCCCCCGCCCCAGCCCTGCCCGCCCCTCCTCTCACCCTCCCCGAAGAGCGGGAGCAGGGGTCTTGCATGTGGGCCGGTCTGGTGGCCAGGCTGCCTCCGCTGCCCCCGCCCCACTCCCTGCAAAGTGAAAGAGAAAAGACGGGGAAGGGGCCGTGGTGGGTGCAGGACCAGGGGCAGACAGGAACAGCCCGGCCGGAGACCTCCACACTGCACCTCCCACCCTGGGTGTGAGCCCCTCGCCCGGCCAGGTGGGCGACTCCAGCCATGCTCCTGGTGTGGCTGCCACACGCCCTTTTAGAAGTAGGTGGGGGTAAAGTCGTCAAGAGCCCAGGCTTTGCAGTCACTCAGAGGCACGGGCTCCTGGGCCAGGGACCGTGGATCCCTCCCCACCTTGAGTGAGGCCCTGGCCCGCGGCGGCCAGCTGCAGGGTCTGGAAGACCCTAGGGATGGACATCACGGTCCCTAATCCAGGCTTGTCTGTGAGACTCTAGTCTGTTCCTGGTGAAGGGTCAGGGCCGTCGCCTTCTGGGTCCCTGTGGGGGGTGCTGTGGGTCCCTGTTTTGAACGCTGAAAGGAGCAGCAGGGAGGCCCCCACAGGAGCGTCTGAGTCTTCAAGCTGCAGGGAGGGGGCAGGGCGGTGCCTGCCCTTTTCTGGACGGAGCCCCAGGCCAGGGTGGGGGCACAACAGGCCCTTCTGAGGCTAGTTTCCTTGTAGGTCACGGCTGTGATAGTCAGCACAGACGGTCACTGCGCATGTGCCCCGGGCAGTCGCAGCAGAGGCCCCGCGGGGCCGCGAGCAGGCCGCGGTTCCTTTGGTGTGTTCCCGAGGGCGCGCACACACAGGCGTCTTCTCCAGGAGCAGATCTTTTGCAAAGGCAGCTGCAGGCCCTCCCCGGGGACACCAGCTTGGTGAGGCGGAGACCCTGTCAAGGGAAACTGCGGTGGTGGCTGCACCGGAGGAGGGTCACAGCCCTGCAGGGTGGAGAGCAGGGACCTGGCTCTCTGGGGCAGTCTGGAAGGCTCCCTGGAGGTGGCGGCCTGCTCGCTGGTCCTGGAGGGGAACGGGCTGGCTGAGGCGGCTGCAGCCTGCCTAGGAAGGCTCTGGGGTGGGATCCCATCTGCTCAGGTTCATCCCTGGGGTGGACCCGGTTTAGCGCCTGTTTCCCTGATGAGTGGAAACTTCCAAGCCCATCAGTACGACTGCACGGTCGCGGGTGTGTGTGGACATTTTGTTCAAGTTTGCATTTCTACAATGGCCAGCACGATAGAGGCGTGCTCTGGCTGGTCTTGGACACCCCCCTACAAATATCTTGCTCCTCCAGGAAGGTTCTGGGTAAAATGGAAACATACCCTGTGGCCAAGTGGAGACATGGCACCAGGGAAGGAGGGGGTCCTGTTTCCCTTCTCAGCAGGGCCTCCTTCGCCAGCCCCAGGCTTCACGAGGACCTCACCCCTGCCCCTGAGCAGGAGGCCCTGTCCCCAATTTCAGAGGTGGGCTCACTGGCCCCCAGTGGACTTGGCCTCCAAGAGGGGGCTCGGGGTGCTGAGAGGGAGGAGGGGTCAGAGCCCTGAGACGGGCTGGTGCCTCCTTCCCAGGCCCCGTTCTGCAGGGCAGGAAGCCCCTGTGCCGGGTGCCCCTACGTCGGGTCCGCCCCAGGCATGAACTAGAGCAGATGGGACAAGCGGTGATGGACGAAGGGTCTTGTCCCAGACTCCTGGGCTGAGTGGGGCCCCGGGGCTGCACTGACTGGGCTGGGGAGGCCTGGCTGTGCCCTTGGCTGGCTGTGTGAATACGGGCAGGTGCAGAATGCCCTGGAACCTTGTTTTCTTCCTCCCGGTTAATGGGGAGTCTGTTGGGCCTTGCCTGAGGAGGCTGTGAGGTTAAATGAGGTGATGCACACAAAGCTCTCGCAGGGGCCTCGCTTCTGCAGCTCTGTTCCTGACCTTGTCAGCGTTTAATTGAGAACACTCCTAATTAATTTGAAGCGCATAGCTCCTGAGCAGAAAGCCTACTGTTTGTACTAACCACTCCCGTCTTGCCAAAGGAGCCCCACTAAGACACGAGGGTCTCACACGCACAGCTCAGAGCCGCCCAAGACACGTGCAGGTGAGGAGGGGGTTTGGGACACCACCACGGTCTGCGAAGAGTCCGGTCACACTTGCCACCCTTCTGCGCATCCTCCAGGCTCACGCTCCTGCCCGGGCTGCCGGGTTCCAGCTCCCAGAGCAGAAAGGGCCCGCCAGCCCCTCGAAGGTGTGGACTGTGAAGGAGGGGCTGGGGGCAGGGCAGCCCGCGGCGACCCCCACCCTTTCCGCCAGGCACGGGGTCGGATGCCCCAAGGGGTGCCGCAGCCCCCGGGGAGGGGTCCAGTTGCGTCTCCCCTTCTGTCCCGCCGGGCGTGCTGTCTCCGGGGCCACAGAGCCCCTCGTCCACTCACCCACCCGCACCCGTCACGTGTGAGCCGCATCCTTCCAGGCGTCAGGAAGGGGAATTCAGGCCTAAGCCGGGAATGGTCTGTCCCCAGGAAGCACAGAGCCTGGCCTGGGACTTCATTTGTCCCCTCTGCTCTCCTTCCTCCGGCCGTGCGTGTGTCTGGTCCGACGCTGAGCAGAATTCCGAGGCTGAGGTTGGGGGCCGCCCCTGCTCTTAGCTGCGAGCCCGCGCTCCGGGGTCACGCCCCCACTGGACGGGGACTGTCCTGGCTGCAGCCCAGGGGCTCAGCCCTGGCAGCCTTCCCGTCAGGTCATTTTCCCCGAGAACCTGAGCCACTCCTGACAGTGACACTCTTTCGAGAAACGTACTTCCCGGAGCGTGACGAGCTTCTGGTTGAAACCTTGAGTGTGAGATTTAATTTTCGGATTCTCAGCAGGCCCTTCCGCATCAGGACGCCCACCGTGGCTGCCTGTTGGCGCACAGGGCTGTGACGCTTGTCTTGTCTGAATGTGCTCGGATGGGCCCTCGGCAGCAGGTGAGGGACAGTCACATACAGAGTAACCAGGCGCTTGTGGTGGGAGCCTGGAGAGTCCATGGCAGCCAGCTGAGATGAGGACCAGCCCCCAGGCCCCCTGCAGCCGGCACATTGTGCGCAGGCGGGGCGAACGCGGGCTCCCATTCCACGAAGCCGAGAGGAAACGGAGCACCCGCCCACGACCCGCGGCCTGCTGGTGGCCGGGCCGCTGCCCGCCCGCACGGTCTCAGCCCTTGTGAGCTAGAATCGAGATGGGAAAAACGTTTTACAGCATATGACATTTTCTTTGTCAACAAAACTTTTTAAGTGAGTTTCCAGTTTTCCCCCCACAGGTCCTCGCGTGTTTGAGGGCCGAGCTTTATGTCCTGGAGCTGCGTTGGGGGCAGCCCTGTTTCCGGGCTCCTGGCTGGAGGAGAGCCACCAGGAGGCCTCCTTGTCCAGGACCACGTCCCTGCCTGGCTCGAGGTGGTCCGAGTCAGGAAGTCAGCTGGAGGCTCTGGATGTGGACCAGCGGGTCCTGAGAAGAGGGGTCCCTGGCTCCTGGGCTCCCCCGCCCCAGAAGGGCTGTGCTCACAGGCATCTTCTGTCCAGCAGGGACCCACAGGACCCCCCACAGCTCCGTTGTGCACGCAGCCTGGCCCGCCCACTGCCCCTTTCTCTGAAACAGGGTGCCAGAGCACAGCACACAGTTTGAAGGGCAAAGGACTGGAAGTCCCGGGCAGGGGCCTGGGACGGCCTCGCTGGAGGGAGGCACGGGGCTGCCCCTGTTCCAGACCTGTTTCCCCGGAGTGGGCTGAATCCAGAGAGTCCGTGGGGTGACGGGCTGAGCCGATGGGGAAGCTTGGCTGCTCTGCTCGAGAGGCGACCCCACCCCCGAATTCCTACCTCCATGGGTTGGGGCCTGAGGACCTGCCTTTCTGACAAGTTCCCAGTGCTGGTGCTGGGGTCCAGGGACCCCATGTCTGGGCCACAACTTCCTCTCAGATTATTTTGGGGGCTGCCTGATTGTCACTCGGGCAGAGTGAGCCTCACTGCAGGGGGTGGAGGTGCCCTCCCTGGGTGACCTCACACCCAGAAAGACCCCAAGAGGGTCCTGTGCCTCTTCATGCTCAGGGGTCCTGGTGTGGTCGCCATACCTCCCAGGCACATCCTGCAGGCACAGGGGCTCCGTCTCAGCCCTGCTGAGTCCTGCCGCATGATCGAGGGGTACCAGCCAGGGCCTCCCACACCCTGCAAGTTCAGGGCCTCCCACGTAGCTACCTGAGTCCCACGTGGGGGGCTGCCACTCGGCCACCCTGCTGAGGCGGGCTCCACTCAGGGCACTTGCAGGGGGAAGCAAGCCAGCAGTGTTCTTTAGCGATGTTGGAGGCAGGCGGATGGAGGGGGCAGCACTGAGCCAGGCCCTGGGCCAGCAGGAGGATTTGGGGCGGGCCTACGGGAAGCGGGGTGCTCAGGCTGGGCCCAGCGTGCCGTCGGGCCTCCTGGGGCAAGGGCTCATGATAACCGTGGTGCTGCTCAGGTCCTGTTCTCAGCTCTTCACTAGCTCCCTTAACCCGAAGGACGTCTCGACGCGGCAGGGACAGTGACTGCCCACTGTCCACCCAGCAGGCAGGGCACAGGTGTCCGATGATAGGCCGAGGCATTTGGAGCTGGGCTGTCGGGGGGGCGTTTGTTCTGGGCTGAGCTGCAGTGGGCCTTGGGCTCTGTCCGCAGGCCTGGCCTCTCAGAGCTGGGGCATTTGGGGACTCGGGGACAGAGGGCATCCCTCTGGGTCAGGGTTGTGTCTCCAGGGATGCCTGCCTGGTCCTGCTAGGGAAGGACCCAAGGCTCTTGCTGTGGATACGGGGGAAAGGGGCGCCTGCAGTGCCTGGGCTGGGGGCTCGGAGTGGGCTGTGCCCTCCTTGAGCCCCCCACCCCCGTGGGCCACGTCTGGGCCTCAGGGACAGCGGTCAGCAGCCTCGTGGCCGGGTCGACATGGCGCCCGCCTGCTCCGTCAGTTAGCTGGTCTCTGGCCGGGTGATGGCGCGTGTTCTGACGTGAATTTCTTCTGTGTGTGTACGTGTGTGTCCTGGCCGCCTCACCGTTAGCGTTTCGTTCGGAAGTGACACTAGGTACAGCTCCCTTTTCTCCTCCGCGCTCACGTGCGTGGCCTGTCCTCTTCTGATTTTCAGTTCCCTCTCTCCTCCCGATGTCTCCCTGCGCTCTCTGCCCATCCTCTGGTCACCCTGCTGTCCTCACGTCCTTCCTCCGGCTCCCTGTCCTCGGTGACGTGTCCCACAGCTGCCCTGCCCTGTCCCGCTGCTTCTCCCGCGCCCTGGACCACGCCCTGGAGAGACGGTGGCCATGGAGCTGTCCGCCCCAACGTGGCCCCTCTCCTCCGCCCTCTGCACTCCTGGGTGGGGCTGGGTCCTCCAAAGGGACCCGGCTGTGTCGGGGCGTGTGCTGCGGCGTGGCTGCTGGTGTGGTCGTGTTTCCTAGCTGTGTCTTTGTGAGGATGCTTTGGATGGGAACCGGGCGAGGCTGGGGGCTGCCCGACGGGCCCCGGTGATGCAGCCACGTGGTGGATTGAGGCAAATTCCCACCTCAAATATGGCAGTCCTAAACAAAGCTGCGCCTGGCCTAAGGTGAGAATTTAGGAGCTCTGCAGTGGGAAGTTGAAACAGCAGGGAGCCTGCCCCAGAGCGGAGGCCACCAGGCCATCTGTGGTGCCAGCACCCTGGCCCCGTGGCTGCTCGAGCTACCCTCGGGTTTTCAGGCCAGGCCACTGGCTTACACTTGGGTCATTGCCTTCCAGGCTAGAGAGTAGGGAAAGAAGTGACCACTGCCTGCTCTGTGCTGTGTGGGACCCACCTCTCACAGGGCCTGCCCGTGGTGGGCAGAGGCCATGAGGTCTGCAAGGGACCACCCCGGTTTCCAACCCCAGCATCCTCCCCCGAGGGCGAGTCGGTTGGCGGAGGAGATGGCCCTGGAGAGTTTTGGCAAACCCGGGCAGGCTCCTTCAGGTCCAGGGAGAGGCCGGGGTGCCTCCTAACTCCGGTTGAGGCCAGGTGGAGCCGGCCACCCCCTCCCACCGTCTCCCCACCACCCTGTCTCTGCTCTGTCTGCTCCCATCGTCACAGCTCCCTTTGCTCCTCCATCCCTTCTCTCTCCTCTCCGCCCTTCCTACCTCCTCTTCCCCATCCTCTTATCCTGGCCTCAGCTCCAGAGCCAGGGGCTGAAACCTCCCACCCTCTGCCCAGGGTGGAGCTGAGAGAGCTCTGAGGCTCTCCTGGTGGTGGCTGGAGTCCCCTCCTAGGCCTGGTCCTGAGTAAGGAGGGGTCTGTCCTCCCTGGACACCGACACCTGGGCTTCCGTGCCTACGGCCCCAGCGGCTCTCCCTGCGGGTGGCCCATGCGTGTCTGTCTGTCTGTGTCTGTGTGTCTGCATGTCCCCATCCCTGCTGAGAGCAGCCCACACGCTGTTATCTTTTACCTCGTCTCTGCTTCCTTCCAGGACCTTCTACCAGTTCGAGGCTGCGTGGGACAGCTCCATGCACAACTCCCTCCTGCTGAACCGGGTCACCCCTTACCGAGAGAAGATCTACATGACCCTCTCTGCTTACATTGAGGCAAGAAACCTATGCCCAGGGCATGCCACCAGAATCACCTGTCCCCAGACCTCAGCTGCCTGCCAAGGGACAGTGAGGGTGCTTGTTAGCCCTGGACAACCCCAGTCACCCTTGTTACCTTCTCAGAGGACTTCTAAAGTCCTCGAGTTAAGTCTGTGTAATTTTAACGGCAGTGCTCACAGTTAACCAACTCTGTTCTGCGGTCTTTAGTGTGTGGGTTTGTCCTTGGGGTTGCAAGATGGCTGCAGAACCACCAGACATTGCATCTATGTTCCAGGCAACATAAAAGCAGAAGCTTCCCCTTCCCTCTCGCCAGGGTCCCCGGCTGTGACCTCCCCTCAAAGTGCAGGACGAGGCTGGGAGTGCGGGCGTTTCAAGCGGTGCAGGGTAGTGAGGAATCTGGGTGTTTGGGGTCCGCAGCCAGCAGGACGGTTGAGGCGAAGCCATCCACCCCTGCCCCCAGAGCCTAATTACTCTGGCTGTGATGTGGGGACCCACGTGCTGCCCCGGGGGTGAGGTGTGCTCAGGCCCCCAGCGCTGAGCCCCGGGACACGTCAGTGATGTCAGCAGTGACCCCCGAGCCTCAGGACAAAGCACCTGCTGTAAGACGGCACCGTGTTGGCTGCGAAGTCATTCCTGTGGCGTTTTAGAGTCAAACCCTGGGTTCAGACAGGACCCCGTCAGACCCTCACGGGTGTCGGGGGGTGTCACCCCAATTTCACGGTGAGGCAGCCAAGGCCCATGTCTGGATGCTTGGGGCCCCTACACGGATGTCCGGACCCCCGGCAGCCCGGTGTGTGGCTTGCTTTCTGAGGGGAGTTGGCTTGAGGCGGGAGTGGCGACCCTCCCCACCTGGGGCCCCGGAAGGTCTGGGGCTGGGGTTCAGTGCGGT